TTGGTCAACGCATGGCAGACCAGCTCGATGAGATAATAGCTGACTCACCGTTATATTCTTGAACAAAATATATGTGAATAGAAAATTTACATGAAAATATAAATTATAAAATGGATTCATTTTAGTTCATGTCAGAATGTCACTGCCTGTTCTCTGTCCTCTGTAACATCGGCTCTTTTCGTTTTTTCGTTAATCATTGGTAGACAAGTATAAATACAGTTACTAATCTTTTCCAATAGATCATGTATTGAAAGATGAGTATACATATAGATGAGTTTTTTTCATTCTATGCCTTATTAATAATTCATATAAGGGGAATTCTCGGTCTTGTTAACGACCACTTTTAATCATTTAAACTGTTGATGGAAAAAACAGTACAAAAATATAAAAAAATATGAAAGAACAACAACATTAACACGAAAAACGAATGTGTTAATAATGTAAAGTCAAAGAGGAAAACAGCGAAACATCATGCGACATTTGTATATATATACATATGGATATATCATATCATGAAAATATTAATAGTATAAAATGCTAAATTTCACGAAACTCTATATATAGTATCACATGTAATATCAATATCATAAATATAATATAATCATCATAATAGTTTTAATCTATAATACTTAACCTATCACATTCAACACGTTATACTGTATGAAGTAGAACATAAAACTTGAGTGATATATACTTACTTGGAAATGAATTATTTTGTGATTATAATTATCCAATTAATTATTACATAGTGTTATACACATTGTTAAGATTGTTTAGGTTTTCATTTATTAGATGATTCATATTGACTATGATGTTAATATTTATGATATTGATATTACATGTGATACTATATATATAGTTTCGTGAAATTAAGCATTGTATACTATTAATATTTTCATGATATGATATATCTACATGTATACAAATGTCGCATGATGTTTCACTATCTTCCTCTTTGAGTTTACATTATTGAAACATTCGATTTTGTGTTAATGTTATTTTTTCCATCTTTTTTGTGTTTTTCTACTGTTTTTTTTTCATCAGTAGTTTAAATGATTGAAAATGGTCGTCAGAACGACTGAAAATCCCTTTATATAAATTATTGATAATGCATTGAATGAAAAAACTGATCTATATATATGTATATACTCATTTCTCAATACATGATCATCTTTTCCGTTTTGCTGTTCTGCCAGATCGAAATCCTTCGGATTGCGTTGCCTGTCGCGTCCTCTGTATGGTTTTCTTTTCTTTGAGCGAATAGATATGACTAGGGAAGCATTGAGTCTAACAAAAATAAATAACTATTTATATACCTCCTTTCCATTGACACCAAACTCAGGCCAATACTTGGCTACAGGTGCTTCATAATCGAGCAAACCTTGTTCCACACATAACGCCACAGCAGCTGCTGCAATACCTTTCGAAGTTGAAAAAACAAGCTGAAGAGTATCTGGTGTATATGGTTCCTTCTTTGTTTTAGCATCTTTCCAACCACCAATCAAGTTCACTACGCATTCTCCAAGATGATAAACACATAGGCTTGCCCCAGTATCGACACCATCAATTAAATTTTGTTCGAATTTTGTACGTACACTTTCCCATCCAGGAGCTACATGGCCAAACACGTTGTTATCGCTTGATGACGAAGACATTATTGTGTAGATATGTGCGAGTTACAACACATCTTGTTTTTATACTGTCAGCATGAGAAAAATAGACACAAATGTTTTTTTTTTTTCTTTCTCTGATAAGGCAAGAGATACGAGTGTAAGCCTTGACTTTTTGTGGTCTATTTTTAATGTGTAGAACGAGATATCATTAGAGGCAGGGGTGGTGCAAGTCAACCAACATTGGGGGGGTGTAGCGACATTTTTTGGACTAAAAAGATGGAGTTTGCCATTTCTAAGGGGGGGGGGGGATGCAACATTATTTTTGGTGATAAATGGAAGAAAATTTCCCGATTTTGTTGAGCAAAAAAAATAAATTTTTGAAGATTGGGGGGTGTCGCACCCGCGACACCCCCCGGTCGCGCCACCCCTGATTAGAGGTATATTATATCGAGATTTATTTCTCCGACTGAAGGAAGAGTCATATGAAATAAAATAAGTTTGTGTGTTTGCATGCACGTGTCTAGTCACGTGCCTGCATGTATTGATGTAATTTATTAAGTTAGACCAAAGGTAATTGGTGCCGAAGAATCCAAATATGTAATCGGTTTTTCGAAATTTTGAGTTAAAATTTTGTCATCGAAGAAAGGGTTTTTTACGAAAAAGATAATTATCCGTCTACTGAAAGGAGGATAATACGAAAACATTAAATAAGTTTGTGTTCATGTATGCATGGATTTAAGTATGCTTGTTCGTAGCCAGGCGTACACTCACGTGTCTGCAAATATTTTTAAAAGATTGAATAAACTATGTAAGATGGCTATACTTTGAGCCGTAGTGTCAACGAGTCAGATTTGTTTCCTGTTGGAGTGCACTAATTATATTTATTGTTACTTCTTCTATTCTTTATTATCTTCGTTGTGGTATGTGTTGCGCGTCTTCATTCTCTAGTATGCATTATCCACTCTTGTGCATATAGGCTAATATTTTTTTCTTTCCTTTTCTTTTCTCTTCCCCTTTTCGTCCTTGGGAATTTCAACAAATTATTAACCCTTCCTGCTTTCGTAAATTCAAATGCATTTTAAAAGAAGATGTCTGACATCATCTTCATTATTACACAGTCTAGTTTGAAGCGAGACAACAACATCTACTATCTCCCTCTCTCTTTATCTTCTGTCATTGTGTTTCATTTCCTTGTTCTTTTGTTTTTTTTTATTTTTCTCTGTTTCTCTTGTGTGTGTGTCAGAAATATATGAATAGTTAAGAAATTTAAATAATAAATAAGTTCTTGAAAAGTTGGTCAACAAGAAAAACACGAGATCTTCACATTTTATTAAATCTTGTTACAGACTAGGGCCTCTGTAGCATTTTCTATTTCTCCCTCATCCAATCAAACTGTTTGGTGCTCCGATTTCAGTCAAACAGAGATTGCCCCTGTCAGGGCGCCGTGCAGACAGGCTTTCAGCCCGTAGATTTTCTGTTCATCAGATTTTTGGGATATCCAACTGTTGACCAAAATTTCAGTCTATAAGCTATTTTGCGTATATGAGATTCTTCTTATCAGTTTTTTCGGGCAAGATTTTCATCCAGTTACTTATTTTCTTCAATTATAGCTTTGATCCAATCTGAGTTTTCATGTGTTGAGGTGAGCCAGGAAGGTAAGCTCAGTTTGCATGTTTCATCAGTCTTCGTTTTATCTTGTTGGGATTGAACAATCAGTTGATTGTTCACACTGGTATTTCACTCGCGTTGACGCAGAGTATTGTATGCATAGATAGTTTCAGAATAGTTCTGATATTTTCAATTTTCAATCGAGAATCCTGTCACTGATGATTCAGTAGTTGTGTGAAGGGGGCAACATATTATTTGGACAGAGTGTTATTGAAAGAGGATGATCTTTTCCGGAGATAGACCAAAGCATGGTAGTGGCTAGTCGGAGTGTGGCGCTTCAGAAGGACGCCGACGAACGACTAGGCGCTGGTAAGAAAGGTTCAAAAAAGGAACTTTTCAGATGATTACAATCCATAGAAAAATTCTTTAACGACTGAATCTAATCGGCTGAAACATTGTCTGAAAGTCGAGAAAAGTTCAAAAACTACTTTTTCGAATCATGTCTGTGAAACAGTTTTTTTTATAGATAAAACATCTAGAAGATAGATTTGACGGGAAACATGTCTTAGCGATATGTGTTACAAACTAGTGTCTCTGAAGATAAAAAAGCCACGTTTTTCATGATTGGAATGCAAAAGATGATTGTTTCGAAAGCAAGATTGAGAATAACCTACATGGAAAAATAATATTATGAACTTGCTTGTACGCTTTATAGAATAGCAAATCTACTTAATAAATGGTAGAGTTGACAATGCTTTGAATTCTCTTTTCTTTCTCAAAATATAAATATTGAGTTTATCCGCTATGGTTGACGTCTGTGTCAGAGCGTCAATACTATAGAAAAACAACTCTTTACTTCGAATGAAAGTCGCAAATGCAAATCATACAAGAGCACATCACTGCTATCAATAACTTGGACATGTATGTTTCATCTAGTAAGTGGTAGCTCGAATAGTATTAATCTACTAATGAGATGTTATATGAGACACTAGTAGAGTAATGCACCTTGACTGCCTATTGGCAATCCGTTACCTATTACAGTCGAATATTATCTTGTCGAATAAATTTTTAACGTCATTGGCATTCTCTTGAACAATGGCTAAAGACGTATCGACTGAAGTTCATACTTTTTATACTAACTGAAAAAGGCGACGTCTTCATTTTTATGAAAAAATGGGCTAAAGACACATTCTCAAAGTAGTAAATCAGTCAAACACCCGTTGTTATCGATCGGCAGATATTCTCAGGCGGTTCGCTTTTGACCTTGGTTTTATGGATGGTCAGTAGGAAATGTAGGATTGTTTTGAACTATCCCAGATGCTTTAGTCAAGCAACAGCTTCAATAGAATACGGATTTTTACAAAAAAACGCGTTGCAATTTTAACTTTAATGACAAAGTTACACTGAAGCTGTATTTAGAAAATCTAGAAATAATAATTACTCTAGATAAAAGCAAAAGTTTCTGAAGAATAATGAGAATCGTCCACCTAAGTTGTGAGAAGATCGGAGCGTTGGTTTAATTCAATCGTAATAGTAAGAAAGCCCTAATTTCACCAGATTATCCCATGAATTTTTTGTTCAGAATGATTGATGAATTCAAAGCTTTTGAGTTTCAAAGAAATGTAGTATATTGAAAGGTGCTAAGGATAGCAGTAGTGCACCTTATTTGCATGCAGGTAAGTGAAATCGGAATATTTCAATGTGAATCAACTTTCACGAAATTCAGCAGTGAACACAGTTAGGATTTGGATTGTTGGATATCTTTTGTGTTTCCTTCAGTTATGTGGAACACTAATTCAAACTACTTTGGTCAGTTTGATTTTGATTCTCTATATCGACTGATTTGGAATCAAAAGTTTTTAAGTTTTATACTGCCCTATGCTATATGAAAAACGCTTGTGAAAATGAGTGCGATACATTCTTGAACGCTATTCTGATAAGAATGCCGATAGCTGTATTCAAAGAGAAAGAAGCATTTTCATCGAGAATTAACAAGACAGCTTTTGATGTACGGTAATGCGAGTTTTTATACGAAACAAACACACAGCAATAAAGAGTCAGGAACCAGGAATAACTATTAGGAGTGGCCTGTAGCTGAATTCTCTGCGTCAGACTGAAGAAGACCTTACATAAAAATTTGAAGAAAATGTGGGTTGTTGTGAGCGACAAGCAGAAACCAAGGGGGAAACAACTGAGACTTCTCTTGTGAAGTCTCTCGAAGTCTTGAACTCTGATGTTTCCCATTTGGAAACAACATACGCTGAGTGTCTTTTTCATTGCTCAGTAGTCGTTGGATAGCTACGGAGCGTAAGCAGATTTTTTAAATGAAAATAATATGCAATCAAATTTATTCTGTATTATTTAAAAAAATTAGATGTATTGAATAAAACGAATTATTAATAAAATGTTCCTTTTGTATCATCTTATTTAAGGCCGTTAAATTGTTTTATGAGGTCTTTTTTTTTTTGATAATAGCGTCGATTATTTCGAAAAATTGAAGATTTCTCGGATCAACCGCCAGCGTGTCAAAACTAAGTTGATTGAATGTATAAGCAAATGCTAAGTGTAGTGAAAGTGATGCATAGGCAAGACTGCCACCAAAGCCTAAAAATGGAAAGCAAAATATTGGATTATTGGATTACATCTGATTGATTCAATCATCAATTCACTTCTTCCAGTTATTGATGTTGATTGAATGCAATATTTTGATTTCTTGATAAAAAACTGTGAGTCCTGTTTTTTAGTTTAGTAAAGAAAAATGTATCGAATACGCTTTGGAAAGTTTCAAAATCAAATGAGAGATACTTGTAAAGCTATGCGTTTCTTGAAACCTTACCATGGTGACCGAATCCATCTTCACCCAAAACGTTAAAAAAATCACCATGTAATCCAAATCCTCCCCTTGAAAATTTTGTTGTCAAGCCAAAAATAGTTTGGTCGCCCTCGTTTTCTGGCGTTACATTCTCTGTAGCCAATTTCAAAGTTTTCTTGCTCAAAAGACATGCTGTCTTGTTACCATTTTCATTAACATCACCAATGAGCAACGCGTAAATTCGTGCTAGTGAATGAGCATTCGAAATACCATTAACAGCTGGCATGACAGCTTGATGTACCCGACGTTGATTGAAAATAAATTCATCACTATTGGGTGATCTCATAGGGATGGCACCGTTAAATGACAGTGACTTTTCAGCCAGAGGATCCATTTGAGGTAAACTAGCAAGACCGATATCATTCTTCAACAAAAAGAGAGAAACAAGAAGTGTGGAGAGCGATAAGGCAGCTTCCTTGGCTGAAACAGCTTTCGATATTCTATATATTGTTAAACTCAGCATTTGGTTCGACCGTCACTTCCACTATTGCCTTTTGTATGCTGCTTAGTAAGCCTACAATTCTCCAAAAGAACAGTGAAACATTTTCAATTTCAAAGTTCT